AATATTACTACTATTTCACCTTTAAAATTATTGCCTTTAGTCGTCTGGTTGGATTTTTTCACACTTCATACCTTCCAACTGTCGCTAATGGAGAGGGAGGAGATAGGGGCTACATTTTTTTGTATTCTTTCAGGTCCATACTCCTCATTGCGGAGCTCTTCTTTACCAGAATGGCAAGTGCCCCTTTTCCTTAGCATGCAGTCTGAGTTATTTATCAAGTCAATAAACTGTTGCACTAAACCTTAAGTACCTCTTTATGACCTGCACTTCCACAATCATTCTACAACTAGACGACCAAAATGAATCACTCCTCTGTTTACATGGTGATATTTATTCGTATAAACGACGACAGATATCAAAACGGCACAGTGTACTAGAAGTGTTGTTCCCTGTATAGTCAACATAGGTGAACTGAAAATTGGAGCTGAAGTGTGTAGATCCTTTCAAATGTTGAGAAAAGTCATACCTTTGTTCTTCAAATTTAAAGTTACAGTGATGGCTGGACTTGGATAAATATATATTAGAGATTTGATAGAGCGATGTAGTCTCTTTAATGTTTGCGAGTCAGACTGACTTAACATAAAGATATGTACAAATAGATGTAGCAGTAATATTTACAACACTTCATACGTGTGTGCGAATAAGATAAGCATGAGTGTATATAATCCAACAACCCCCCTCCAATGAGTTTAGGAGTAAAATCTTTGCTAATACACAATGTCAACTAATTAGAGCACACATAATAGATTAGAGCACACAAGAAAAATTAATAAAACTCTAATACATAATCAAATGAATTGAAAACTTGTGTTCATTTAAAAGTTAGTCAAACATTTGAAACATTTGGCAAGTGCAAACATTTACGTCAGAATACTAAGAAATCACTAGAATCCCCCCCCAGCAACTCCCCCCAATTGTATGAGTTAGGAGTAAAATCTTTGCTAATACACAAGAATAGATTAGAGTACACAAGATTGATAGAACTAGTACAGAATTACCGTACATGGACTCAAGAACAATATGTTAACAAAGTTCAATAGAAATAGGTATCAAATGAATTGAAAGCTTGTGTTCATTTAAAAGTTAGTCAAACATTTGGAACATCCAGCTCAATCACTGTCTGAATCAGAATCATTTTTGGTGTCCAGCTTCATTCCATGGTTAAGCGCTCCTTGGTTAACCCATGATGCCTCGTGCAAGAAGCGACCAGGAGTAATTTGGTCGTGGTTGAGGAGTTCTGAGAGCCTAACTTTCCTTTTGTCGTTTGCAACGGTCTTCCACCGGCCAACAAACTGAACATCTTTGCCTCTCTGAAGAGTCAACTTATCACTCCACGAGATATGTTCAAGTTGAACCATTCCAGCTGCATGAAATAAATAAAAAAGAAAAAAACTTTATGAGTGAGTTATATGTTCAGAGAAAGACTAGCTTAACAGCTTTCAGAAATTGACTCACCAATCAAAGTCCAGACATTGGGGTGGTTCTGGGGAATGAAGTTAGCCAAGCACCTGTTGTCTGACTCAGAGCAGTTGTTTGTGCGCTCAGGATGGCTAAACACAGACAGCTCCTGGATTCTGGGTAGCCACTCCCTCCTAAAGTAAGAGAATAGGGGTTCCAAAGTCTCTCCCCAGCCAGAAGCGACCACCTCAGTCCAGATTTCCTCCACTCCCTCCTCAATCAAAGTTGCTGGTAGCAAAGGAGCACCACAAATGCACCTGATAAAAGTGTGGATCAGGTCATTGTCTGAAGCTAGCTGCGAAAGCTGCTTCTTCACAGCATTCCTCCCAACACACTGGAAAAAAAGTGTAATTAATAAATATGAATTAAGCTCTCTAAACACATACACAGATAGAATTATATAAGCATCAACTCACCACTCCAAAATGCCATAAGCAGCCCACAATATCAGAAGAGGGAAAGGTTCGGCGCAAGGCATTGATGGTTGCACGTTCAAAATCGCAATGGATGCGGACAGGTTGTAAGTTTGGAGCCAGCTGCTTGATGAAGCTGAACAGCTCCAGGTAGGCCTGCTCAGAGCGGCTTCTCATAATGACCCGCATCAAAGCAATTACCTGGGTGAAAAGGGCGTACATATATTAGAATAACAGTAAACATACTACCTCAGGTTGTTTATGCAGGAATACAACTCGTGTATCAACGATCCGCGATTTCCAGAGGACAAAGAGGCCTATTTCGAGGGCTGTTTCGGTTTCGCTGATGGGTGTTGGTGAACGGCGAGGCGAAGGCCCAGACCCGGACGCAGAGGCCGCCACAGCCACCGAAGCCGTCATCGTTGCCGTCGCCGTCAGCGTGGACGACGCCACTGGCACAGGCACATCAGGCAGCTCGTCATCGTCAAGCAGTAGGGGCTGTTGTCCAGCCGAGGCCGAGGCAGTGGTCTGTTCAGCCAAATGCTGCAGCCGCTTGGCCCTCACCTCCGCGGCACGCCGCTCGGCATCGGAATCCATGATATACTGACGATAGAAAAAGGCGGTCGATTACATTCGTTGAATCAAACACGCGGGAGGGGAAAACATTGCCAAAACAACTCATAGAAGTCAAGCAAAAGAGGCATGTACTTAGGTAACACACTCCTCCACAGGCTCAACACACACACACACGACGACGTGTCGTCAAATCGAACTACTTGACTGACTTTTCCGCAATTTACGATAACCTAAATAACCGTCCACGACAAAGACGCAGCAAATGCGAGACAAAGTTCACGATTGAAAAGGAAGTTAGCGATACTCACGTCGAGATAGAGTCAGAAGCTGAAAAAGAAAAGAGTAGAACGACCGCACTGACACTTGCGAGCAGACCGTCTGATGGGAGCATGAGAGCGCCGGTGACTTTTGTAAACAGCTGGGTGGGTCGGTTTCCAGCAGGCTGGCCAGCATTAAAAAAAAAACGAATTTTGCACATTCGTAACCGTCACACCATTTTTCAAGGAGTAAATAAGTTTTTGTAGTAGTAACTACGATATCGACAGTAAATTCAATGTTTGAAATGTTAAGACACACAGACACACTACAT